CCACTTGGAATCGGAAGAAACACATGATTTGTCAGGCTACGGTATCAAATGAAATAGGCCTGGCCGTCATCATCGACTTCGATGTCAAGACCGCGGCGGTAACAAGGTTTGGTTTGATGTCAATTGCGCCGGGCACCTAAGTTTCCACTCCATGGAGCGTTCACAGTGGTGCAGTTAAACCGAATCCATTCTGGTAAACATCTACAGTGCGGCATCTTTGGTTGTTCCTCATAGGGGTGACCTGATGCTGATGCAAGGTAACATTTCCAGTCCGTTGATGGCTACCTCAACCATTTTTTAGACTCCGTCTGTCAATATTTATTCTTAGCTGCAGATTCACCCTTGTTTAAAAATAATAAAATAGTACAGGAAAAATGGATTCACCATTTTTTTTGGCAGCTGGTGGTAGAATCTGACAAGAAGTCGGAGAAAAAGGTTAAATGAACTGCCACATTATCTTTGTCGGGTGAGCCGAGGAGAGTGAGTGGCATGTGTAGCTTCAACTGCTCAAATATACTAGGCCGCTGACCACAATGTAGCAGCTCACCAAACCAAACCCAGGGCAAAGAAAGCAAAAGGTGTATGTGCGCCCTTGGTCAAAGGAAAGCTTTTGCATCCATGTCTTGTCTCCTCTGCTCCATGAATGAATTGAGCAGGTTTAACTAACATGCTTTGATCTTGTTTTTCCTTCTAGTTTGTTCTCTTGCAATCATCTGCGAGACTGATGTTTTAGAGTTGGAGACTTATATTTGATTAGTAAGAGAATAAGAATGGATTGATATTTGTATGTTCTTTTTTTGAGCTGGATATATGTATGTTCTTGTTTGCCTCAAATGGATGGCATTTGCCATTTGGTGGCATCCAGTTCAGAGACCGAGAGCTATTTGCATTTCCGGGCTTACTGGACTTCAGTATTAAACGACTCAGCCCAACCAGCCCAACCCAGCCCCATGGATTGTGTCCATGACATGTTCGGTTCGCTACTAAAATTCTTTTGGCCAAATAATACTTTTCTCACCACATTGTTGGAACCACATAAAACACTAAAGGAAACAGAAATAAAGTTAGAGAATTTTGTTAAAAAAAATCGTTTGCTCATTGATCGCCATCATGCAGTGCCATCCACCCTAGCAATTCAAAATTTACAAGCAGGCTAGTTTTACCTCCATTGATTTCTAAACCATCTAATTCCCTAGTCAATATGCCCCCATATATGTTCTTCTGAACTTAACCCCAAAATGATAACAGCTCAGCAGATCCAAGAACAATGCACTGCAATGCATAGCCCCCTCACAGGCCATTACCTTCCTCCAGAAGAACACCGTCCCAACTAGCTACCGAGTAACAATAATTGAACACGACAGTAACACCTTAATGGCCATATCATGCATGAACCCTAAGTGCTATGTGATGTTAGTGTTTCTCTCTCTAGCTGACCTAATTAGAGTCGTTCCAGACGCTGAAGAGCTGCGCGCCGGTCATGTCGCTGCTGCTTGTCGCCGGTGGAGCTGAGGCCTGTGCCCAGGCAGCCATCCTCCCCCCGCCGTAGGCTTCTGCGGTGCTCACGAGGTAGTTCTCGTAGGCGATCTTCCCGTCGTCGTGATCCCTGCTCATGTTGCCGCCGCTGTATGCCTGTGCCGCCACCGCGCGTGCGTGGGCATGCGCTGCCACCTGCTCGCGGGCGTGGCTCGCCGTCGCGGTGGTGGTGGTGCTCATGGGAAGCATGTAGCTCTCGACGCCGCCGTTGTTGTACACGACGGAGTTGGAGCCGGTGCTGTGCTCGAGCGAGGCGCCGGCCGCGTTGTGGATGCTGCCGAGGCCACCGTGCTGCTGCTGCATCGCCTGGGCATGCTGCGAGAAGAAGTCATGTGCGCCGCCACCGGCGCCGAGGTTGAGGTGGTGGAGCTCCTGCAGGCTGTGCGCAGCCGCGATCACCGCGTGGTCCGGCTCCTGCTTACACCACCCGCGCAGCGGCTGCGCATGGGCGTAGGGGTGGTACATGTGTCCACCACCGCCGCTGGAAACCTGATGAGGCGGCGCCTGGAACGCGATGGTCGGCCACGCAACAGCGCCGGCGACAGAGGGGTGATGGTGGTGGTATGCGGCACCGTAGGCGGCCAGGGCGCCCATGTCATAGCCGCTCACCACGCCTGCGTGCTGCTGCTGCTGCAGCGCGAGGGACGACGCCGTAGCCGCCTCGGCGTCCTTGAGGCGCTTGGCAGCGCTACCGATGGGGAGCGCGGTGCTGTCGAGGATGCTCTTGACATCGTAGCGCGTCATGTCGAAGTTTGTGACAGCATTGAGCCCCCGGAACTTGATCGCCGCGATGTCGTACGCCTCCGCAGCCTCCTCCTGCGTGCCTACATTACACATGGACGACCATAGTTAGGTGCCAACGCAATCTACCACTCGACGCCATGCATGCATGCAAGGTGTGACAGGCTAGCTTAATTATTTTAGTTGATCATTAGTTTACTGCAAATGCATGCATGCATGCAGACGCAGCTCGAATATTTTGACTAGATGCACCGGCAGGGGGAGACAGCGGCAGCACTAAACATGGAAGCTACGCTTAATAAAGCATGCACTCATGCACAAAGTATAATAGTAATATGCTCGATGCAACTTGACATGACTTGCAAGTCCATTTTCAACGGGAAATCTACCATTTTGTCGATCCATTCATTGGCATTTTATGGACACATCAGTTGGAATTTGGAAAATGAACGAGTACCGTCCGTATAGAGCTCATAACTAGTTTGCACTGGAGGATATAAATGTCAGCATAAAATGCATCTAACTGTATTTGTTTTTTTGAGAAACACACAGTACAAACGCATACGCTCTAATGTCTCTGAAAGCCGAGGTTGTAATTTCATGGCAACCAAATGTTTATCTTTTAAATTTTGGAAAATCAACGAGTACCATATGTATAGAGATCATAACTAGTCTGCACTGGAGGAGGATTATCAATAAATGCGAGCAGAAAATGAATCTAGCTGTTTTTTTTAAGAAACACAGTACAAACGCATACACTCTAATGGCTCTGATAGTCAAGGTGGTAATTTGAGTGTAACCAAATGTATCTTTTTTTCCTCAAAAAAAGTATATATATTTTGGAATCAGAATTCGGAAAATCAACGAGTACCATCTGTATAAAGATCATAACTAGTTTGCACTAGAGGTTTATAACAAATGTCAGCACAAAATGTATCTAGCTGTTTTTTTTTGACAAACACAATGCAAAGGCATATGCTCTCATGTCTCTGATGTTGAGGTGGTAATTTCAGTTTAACGAAATGTATATATTTTGTACTGGACGTGGACAGATGTTGAGTATAAATACTTACTGAAGGTGCCTAAGTAGAGATCCTTGTTCCCTGCAACTCTCCCTATCCTCGCTTGCCATCTCCCATGTTGGTGGTGCCTTTATTATACAAAATTCAAATGGATCAGCAGCAATAATCAAATTTTTATGTAGCTAATGTAAGTATTGTCCTCTCGACCTCTACACGATACGATGCAAACAACCAAGAAAAGGAAACACATACCTAGTTACTCCACGATAAATGGATGCGCCTCTGGAGAAACCACTGCTCTTCCTGCACATATACACATTAAACAACATTAGCATTAGTTGATTTGAAGATTGATTTGCTAGCGATGTACCTACATTCACCATATATAAAAGATAAGAGACCAACCTTCGCAAAGACGCCACAAACTCCTGCCTTGTCATGTGCTTCATCTCCTCTAGCTCTTTTTCGTAGTTGTTTACCTAGAAAAAGAAAGAGAAACAGATGCATGTCTTTAACTTCAGTAAGCTAGGCTTCCCAAAATAGAATAATTAGAGATATATATGCAGCTATGTGGTTCACCATTACATTGATCAACGAATGATCAAATGGTTTTTTTTGACGGTTAAATGATCAAATGGTGATAAATGACAATATGGCTTCTTCCAAAACAATGACAAAAAGATGAGTGTGATGCTTACTGGGAAATTTGTCGTCGTCGTCGCACCCCAATATTTGAGAGCAGCCAAATCATAAGCTCTTGCAGCTTTCTCCTCTTTGTCATAGCCACCTGTGTATGCATTTAAAGATTAGAAGGCATAGA